CGATGCTGGTGCCCCGGCTGCTGCAGATAATTCGCTTGCAGAACCTGCGCCTACTGCTACTTCAGCGGCTTCGTCTGCACCAGCTGGTGACGGTTCTGATGAACTCTCGCCCGTGGTTGCACCTTCTGCTTCTCCTGCAGACACCTGGCATGCAGCGCTTGAGCAAGGCGCTGCCTGGTCTGGAGATACCCCTTGGGGGGAAGATGGCTGGCTCTGGCTCTGTCCCTGAGGGGAAACGTCTACCGCAGGTATTCCCTCCAGCCAGGAATCAGGATCAAGGGCCGGATAAGGCTTCCGTGAAATCCTTGCATGGCGTCTCTCCTTTGAACTGCGCTGCGCACCACCCTGGAACGGCAATGGTGCAGTGTCAGAAAACAAACCAACTGACTGAGGGGCTGCAACACCCGTGCGGAGACTGGCGGATGCACCGTGTGGGGTCCAAGGAAAAGGTGAGGGGACTGCAGAAAAGGGCTGGCTCTCGGAGAGGGCTGGTTGAGAAGCTCCACCAAGTGCATGGGGAGACTCTAGAGCAAACGTTTGAGGTGGGAGACCTCCAGGCTGAAGGTGTGACGCCGCCAAGTCGGAGGTTAAGTGTAGGGGGCCAGGATAGCCATATTGTTGGTCTGGCCTATGGACTGTCCCGTGCACAGGGTGATGCTGATCGCGTAGCCCGGAACTGGCAGGGGACGGCATCAAGGGGTTGAAGAAATTGGGATCTAGGGCTTGTTGGGTGTGTTGCATCTCAAAAGCCAGACCTTCCAGAAACAACGAGTGGGCGATCCTTGCCACCTGCTCTTCTGCGTCCAATGCTGGTGCTGGATTGCTTTCTTCGGTCAAGGCCAGTCCCAACTCCGCCTCCAAAGCTGCACACTCTTCTATGAGCTGTGGCGGAGTACTCTCTTCTTGGCTACCTTCATCGCTGTCCGACAGCCTGCGAACCGGCATCCCCGCCGTTTGGTCGGTGGATGCAGACGCAGATGTTCTGCAAATTGCCCGCAACACTGATATTATTAGGGCA